AGCAGTACATCGGCATTACACATGACTTACACAGGCACTTTATCAACTCCAGCTCATTTACATGTATAACAGCTCCACAAAGCACAGACAACTGCTGGTCTATTATTAGGCATGGACGCAGCTGTTCCTCACTGTCTCTGGTAGGTGGTTCCAGAACCCTCTCCCCGTAGACACTATCATCTGCCAGGGTAAGATGGCATGGGTCCACGCATAACCTGGGTACACCCGCTTGTATATTTTAAATGAAAATATGCCACGTAAATACCATTCTACTGTAGTGTGTGAGTGTGTGAGTGTGTGAGTGTGTGTGTGTGTGTGTGTGTGTTTGTGTGGCTGGGGATCAAACCCAGGCCTTTGTGCGAGGCAAGAGCTCTACCACGGAGCCACATCCCCAGTCCAGTTCTACTATATTGTTGAGGAAATAATGATAAAGCACAAAGTCTAAGTGTGTTCAGGTCAGGTGCAATTTTTCTCACACTTCTGATCCACAGTTGGTTGCCTGTTCCAGTCCAGAAAGAGCACTGACTGCCGTCTCTTTTAACCCTCGAAATTGAATGAGGACAGTATTGCTAGTCTGGCTCAAAACGTCAGCTAATTTGCCCAGGATACAAACAGAAAAAGGTCAGCTAATTTGCCCAGAGTCACACAGCCTGTTAAGGGACAGGAGCAGAATATTTTCCCCCAGAATATTCTTTCCTGGGTAGGAGACGAAGTGGGCCCCCTAAGCCCCAGCCAGGAACGGGTGCCGGGTTTGAGACTACAGGCGGCAGGTGAGGCCGCGGCGGGAGAGCAGAAAGCAGTGAGGAGCGGGGTTTGCAGAAGGCCTCGGGGGCAGCCAGGCCCCTGGGGAGCTGGACCCAGGGATCCGAAGCATCTCTGGCAGGCCTGGGGAAGGGAGGGCTTGGTGTGTGAGTGGAGGCTTGTGTCTGGTACCAGCGCACGTCGCCGCCCTGCTGCACACTCGAGCAGGCGCCGCCCACAAGTGTGTCCCGGCCAGCAAGTCTGACCTCACGCACCTGCTCGTTCGAGCCCGGTGAGGAGCAGAGTGAGGAGCAGGGTGAGGAGCGGGGTTCTGCTCCGGGTGCTCCCAAGGACAGAGGCCGTGTAAGTGCCGTCAGCAGCGGCGAGGGAGCCGATGCACAGGCCCACAGCAGACAAGGACAAAGCCCAGGGCAAGCGTCTGAGAGCAGATCACCGTGCCCAGAGCCAGGGCACTGCATAGCCGAGGAAGGAGGCTGGCCGGGAGGTCTTCCCCAGCCCTGGGTCGCAGCATGAGGAAATCAGGGAGGACTTCCACATGCAGCATGCACACACACGTGCACACACATATATGCATGCACACATATGCTCATACACACGCATGTGCACACTGCACACACACATGCACACCCACATATGCATACCCACACATACACATACTCATGCAAACACACACACAAGCACACACTGCATGCACACATGCACACACATGTGCACACTGCACATACACATGTGGACACACATATGGATGCACACACTCATACATACCACACACATGCACACTGCCTGCACATATGTGCACACACATATACATACGCACACATTGCATACTCATATGCATGCCCACGCACAGCATGTGCACACACATGCATGCACACACACATGCACATACACATGTGCACACACGCACATCCATGGGCACACACACACCAGTCCCATTTCCACAGGTGGACATTTTCATAAGAAAACCAGTGAGCTATCCTACCGAGCAGTGATTTGTTTCGCGATCTGACGGACCATAATTTCCAAGTGGAGAGAAGATGAGAAATTCTCAGAACTCCATCCACCAGTTTAAACTCTTACGGCAACAGGTCAGCGCTCAGGCCACCGCGCTCCATCGAGACTGCAGGCTGCCGGCATAAACGTCTCCTTAATGGTGGGGTCAAGCCAGCCCATTTGGGGCTGTCACCTCTCCGAGCAGAGCAGAATAAATATGCCATCTCTGACAGCCCACGGCGGAAAGGCAATAGCAGCTGCCCGTTCTAAGTTTTCCTTTTTCACACCGTATGGCCGCCTTTGGACCTTGCAGACAGGAGATGGTTTCAGAACCTCAAGCGGGCAATCCTTTAAGCCAAAGGTACAGAGACATTCCCACCCAAGCTGGCTCCATTTCTAGGGCCCTTCCTGGGCCGAGCCCATGGGTTCTGCAGATGGGCAGGGACAGGGACAGGACCCGCGGGCGAAGCCCATCACTGGACTCGGCAGCCCCAACGTCCCGTTCTTCCGCCTGAGGCCCCAGGGGCCTGGGCTCCGGCCAATTCCAACAGCTCATTGTTTAGTTTTGTGGTTGTTGGGAATAAGTTCAGTTCTCTTCTCTTCTTTCTCTCCTCCTGGCAATCTCAAACGTGTCAAAAGAAAGGAAACTTTACCCTTACTGTCAGAAAGGAGACCGAAATAACACACCGGCTTCAAACAACCAAGTCTCTTCATCAGAAAGCAACACGCAGGGCAGGTGACAGATCTCAACGTGCCACCCAGAGCCATCGGTCCCCGCAGCCATCCAGTGCCACCCAGAGCCATTGGTCCCCGCTGCCCATCCAATGCCACCCAGAGACGTTGATCCCCACGGCCCATGCCCTAACTCAAGGCGAGCGGGGACATCGGCTCTGCTTCACAGGGCCGCTGTGCTTCTGCTAAGAAATGATCTCCGTTTTCCTACTGGGCGCCGGCAACACCGAGGAAGACCAGAACGCTCATGCTCGGATGTGGTCAGTTATATCCACTTCAGACACCGTGTCACACAAGACGGAGGGACACAAAGGCAACGAACAGACCTGAGAGGACCCCGATATTCTGGGGTGTCTGAAGCCTGATCTGCCCGCCCTGGGGGACAGCAGCGGTCCATGCAGGGGCAGGAACCTGAGGGTACAACTGCCACCACACAGCCACCAGGTGCTGGCTGCAGGCAGGGCTGGCGGGAGCAGACCCCGGCCCCACCCAGACCAGAACCTCTGCCCCTTGTTGCCCCGCCCGCCTCTCCCTGGCCGTGGTGTCGGAGAATCAGCCCTTGTGCCTCTGTCTCCTCATCTTTCAGAGGTAGGGCAGGAAAAGGTGGAGGCATCTCGCAGGGCTGCGTGAGGGCCGAGGGTGTCACTGTACAGGACAGTGTCTCGCGCAGGGCTCAGCACACGGCAAGTGCTCGGTAGCAGTTGCTGCTGAACCGTGGCTGGGCTGGGGGGCTGCGTGTGGGGAGACCGGCCTTGCCTCGGGGCGCGCTGTTCGGACGATTTTAACCAACTCCCCAGAGAACTGTCCTCCCGTTATCTTCCCAAGAACAGTGTCTTCCATGGTCCTTGGGTGACATGGTATTCGGCCCCTGCCCTCTGGCACAAGCGCAAGGTGCTAAACCTCCTTCTGTACGGCCAGTGCCCACCCCAGCCACCTGGCCATGCCCGAAGCCATCACCCCCTCACGGCCATCATGGGGGGCTGCACCCACAGGACATGGCTGCTGTCCCTCTGCCTGTGCTCTGGCCTACCACAGGGGAATCTCCACGTCATATGTTCTTCTGTGTCCTTAACTCAGAGAGGCTGCGCTTGGGGGTAGCAGCGCCGCTCCACCGTCAGCGCCCTTTGCTGCTGTCCCGTGGCGTGTGATCGGCCCAGGCTGCACCGGGAGCTCTCAGGAGCTCCCCTGCTCTGGTCCCCAACACGCACCCACAGCGCCTGGGCCAGACGGGCTCTCCAGGAGGGAGACTGCGCTCCCAGGCCATCGCCCGGGACGAGGGCATTGTGTCACTGCCTTATAGACCAAGCACGGCTTTGGCAGAGGGCAGAAATAGAAGCTGCATCCGGCCTGCTCTGGCACGGGCACTTGGGCGTGGGCTCTGTTCTCCTGCCACCCCCAGTGAATGACAGGATACCCTCCCACGGAAGCCACCACCAGCTGCTCCAGGGCCACAGCCCAGGGGTCGGGCCAACCCAGGCTCCCTGGCCAGTCCCTCTTCCTCCCTGTCACTGCACTTCTACCTCAGGTCCCAGCGAAGCTGAGAGACCCAGAATTCTGCACCCCAGCCCCTGCAGGGGGAGACGCCTCAGCTGTGTGGGGCGGCCAGCGAGACCAGGGTGATCCCGCTCCAGAAATGAAACCGGCTTCCACAGTGGCTAATGGCTGGGAGTTCTTTCCTTCTTTATCCTCCCTTAGAGAAAAATAGATGAGAGAGAGAAACAGAGAGAAAAGAAAGGTCTTTTTCTATTTACTCTCTCTTTAAAAAAAGAAACAGCTATAAGCCAACCCGACTTGATTTAGCTCCTTACTAAATGTATAAATCATCCCGGAATGCGCTCTGCCATCTAAACACAGATCGTGCCCGGCTTTGAATTCCTTCTTTAATTGAGGCTCCCTACCCCCACCAAAAAAATTGTGGTATTTACTTTACTTTGGATAACTGAAAGGGCTCCCTAATTGTGGAAGTGGAGAAATCCTTAAACCCGGGCTCTGATGAAGAAAACGGCCCTCTCTCCTGGCTGCCTCTGGGCCTTCCCGTTCACCAGACCCCACTCCCTTTGTCAGTGTTAAACCAGAGGGGTTAGTCAGTGTGGGAAGCTGAAGGATCCACTCTGGCCTGGCAGGAGAAGTGTCCGTCCCCAAACGCGGTGCTGAGCACCGAGGCAGTGCTGTTTCCGGCAGTGCTCAGCAGCCCCAGCTTCCCGCTGTTCGTTCCTGGCCCTGGGCGCTTTGCCACCTTGTTCCCGTGGCTGTAACTGTTCTCCAGAATTCAGGCTGTGTGGTCACCCGGAGTCAGGCGGTCACTGTTACCGGCAACTCCGTGTCCGCACGTGGGAAGGGAACAGCGCTACTCAGAAGCACTTCGGCTACGGTAGCCCTCCTGCCAGAGGGACCCGCCATTGTTTTTACCAGTCAAGACGTATGGCCTAGTCATTCGGTGTCATGGATTAAGCTAATTAGAAAAGGAGTTTTTAGAAATAACAGAATGTATTTACATATTATTTATTTCCATTAAGACTTTCATCGGTTCCGTAGTGGCTAAAACATGCACAAGCAGAATTACACCGATTCCGCCCTCATTTCTGACGCGCTCACTGGGTACGTTCGGGACGCAGGGTTGTGCCAGGTTCTGGGTACCTGGCAGCAGACGCGATAAACAAGGACTCTGCTCCCTGCTGGAGAACACGGACGCTTTCTTTCATCAGCCCTGAAACATGTCTTTGTTCATATTTAATATCTTTGAAGCCGGAATATATCCTACAAACGCTGTCAGCTCAGCCACGGTTGTGACGTTAATCAGAAGTTCTGCTCTGGCCTCTACTTCAACTGCGCAGTGCGGAGTGGCGCTGGAAAGTGAGGCTTAATTGCCAGCTACGCTGTCTTTGAAGCGGCCAGCCCCTGGTTTGGACACCAAAAGGCGCAGGGGCAGAGGAAAGCGTAAGTCAGTCATCGCTGGATGAGGGATCACCCCACCTATTTCCTCAGAGTCACAAGCAAGTGATTTATGAGAAGATAATCACAGTGTAGAACGCTGGGCTTTAATGATGCATGTGCAAAAGGATGGTCTGAGTAAAATGACAGACAGGCAGTGGAGAAACTGCCAAACCCTTAAAGCAGATGAAAGAAATCTTCAAACAGCGAGAGGCCACGGTGCCAATCCATGCATGACGCAGGACGGTCATTAAGACATCACGCCACAGTTTAATTTGTAGCTTCCCTTTTCGCTTGCCAGTGCTATAGATAACAGTGGTGTGCCACAGTATCTAGGGCATGCTCGGCTCAGTGGCATACTGTGCTAAACAAGTAAGCAAAACATAAAATCGTTACAGGTCCTGGAAGTGTCATGAAACAGCAAACAAGAGGCTGTGATAGGAATAACAGAAAAATTTAATTTATTTACAGGGATCAAGAAAAGTCTCCCAGCCAGGCATAGCGGTGGTGCACACCTGCAATCCAATCCCAGTCCTTGGGAAGCTGAGGCAGGAGGATTGCTGTGAGTTTGAGGCCAGCCTATGCTACAAGTGAGCTCAAGACCAGCCTGAACTGCATATGGAGACCCTGTCCAAAGAAAGAAAGAGAGAGAGAGAGAAAGGTCTCCCTGAGGATGTGTAACCAAGGAGAAGCCCAGCAAGAAAAAGAGCCAGGGTACAAATGCCCTGGATTGTGGAAGAATCCATGTGCTCTGGGCAGATCTGATCACTGGTTCTGAAGCCCTGGCCTAGACAGAAACACAGACTACTACCATGAGGTCATAAGCCAGAATGCCACATACATAGCTAATCTGAGAGAGAGCAAGCGTAATAAAAATAATTTTAGGTTTCTAAAAATACTTGTTACCTCCCATCCTGATAAATAGGTGGAATTAAAAATATTCTAATTATTCTGAAAAGCCAATGAGCATTGGCTTCACCACCAATAGGAAAACAGGGTGGGGAGCGAATATCCACTTCAAAAATGGCAAATCCCCGTTCTCTGCCTTCTGCAGCTGAAGTATTTTATTCTCTGAAGTTTCCCCGTGTCTTTATGTCTGCGTCCTTTACAACAAATACTTTGCAAGCTGTCATAAACTCTTTCAAACCAGCGAACAATTTCCCTGAAAGACTGAGTGCAACACACCCCAGTATTTCATGGAACACACTTGTGCTAAAGAAAGGGGTTCACCGCTTACCTAAAATCCACATCTAACAAGACTTTGATTTACTACACCGGCAACCCTGCTAGCAAAATGGACAAATCTATGCAATTACCTTTTTCTTCTTTTTCTTTTTCTTCCAAATTTCCTCTAAATCAGGAATCCTTCACCCGGGGCTCGTGGACCTCCTGGGCGTCAATGGATAGATTTCAGGGACGTTCTTGATCATCGATAGGACATGTCAACTCTTCGCTAACCTCTAACATTTTACCTTTTATCCTTTCTTTCCATCATGAATGTGTGCGACAGAGCTCAGGCGTGGCAGGCGTGTCCGTGTGTCCCTGACTCTCAGGCAAAGCCGTAGCAGTCTCGAGGATTCCCAGCCAGGCCTGCTTTACACGTGACGCAGGCTGGGCGCTCAGCAGGCAGGGAGTTTGCTGGGGGCAGCTGAGGGTCCACACCCGGGGAAGCGTGGGCTGTGGGAGGAGCTCAGCCACTGTGCAGCCTCGGCCGACTCCACTGCAGGCTCCAGACCTGATTCGTCCGCACACCCCACCAGGTCTGGGAGGTGACCCTCTTCGGTGAGGGAGACCCTGAAGGCCACCTTCGGGCCCCTCCCACACCCAAGGCAGCAGGGCCTTCCGAGAAGAGAACGACCTCCGGTGCGCTCTCAGATGGCATGAGTGTGGTCCCTGAAGGGTGCCTGTCCCACTCCCCGAATGGCGCCCACCCCGTCACCCTCATGCACATACTCACAAAGCTGAGGGGACCCCGCCTCTGTGCTTGGTTCGGAGCGGCTTGACCAGCAGGACTTCAGGAGAGGAATAAGGGCTGGAAGATTCCAAGTGGGTGACCTTCCCCAGACAGAGGACTCAGCCGTGACAAAGGAACCGCAGCCCTCACTCGGGAGGATTTCGGGGTTCCAGTGGGATCACACAGGCTGACTTCCTCCTGGTTCTCCCGCTGGGCATCATGGGACCCTCGCGAGTCCCTGGGCTTCTGCTGCACCACTGAAAGGGCCCAGCTGTCAGGGACCCTCAATTGCTCACAGCCTCCTGCAGCTTCCTAAGCAGGGACTTTGCTGCTGGATCTTTTATTTCTTGCCCAGCCAAATAGACGGCAGCCCAGCAGCCCCCGTCTGAGCCCACCCTGGCTGTGCCCTGCCCGCTGCTTGGAGGAGCTGGTCAGTAGCCAGGGAACTGCTCTGCCCAGAGGATGTTCTCTCAGAGACGGGCAGACACCCATGGCTCCCCCGCATCTCCGCACTGTCCCAACCAGAGAAGGACTGACATCAACGTCTTCATCCTACAAGCTCACAAAACAACCGGAAACTGACGGCTGCTCATGCTGTAGCAGCGAGCAGGAGCACTGAAAGGACACCCCAGATTTGGAGGCAGATTTATTTACGTCGACGGGCACTGATTGGGATCATCCCCAGAGTATCAGGCCCTGGTCCCTGGTGGTCCAGAGCTTCTATGAGATAAGCAAGCAGGAAGCACAGAGGCAGAACGGCTGTCAGTTCGGGGTTGGTTTATACAATGTGCATCACAGGGGCCAGCCGTTTCTAAGAGACGGGAGCAACCAGAACTGGGACAGGAACCGTTACCTGGGCAACTAAGAAACTGAAGTGTACTGGCTGGGGTGGGGGGAGTTTTCTGCTACAATGCCAGGCACGTGCTAAGGATTCCACAAGATGCTTGTGTGATGCAAGGCATTGTTAAAAGGTTGCATCTGGTGCATTAGTAAGGGCTGGACTGGAGCTAACAGGCAACTGACGATGTGTATTAAGAGTCTTTCAAAAGTTCCAGCCACTTAACCTAATAACTCCACTTCCAGGACTGCACTCTGAAAGGTGTTAATCTAGGGTGTAGAAACGGTCTATGCATAGGATCGAAGTACAGTGTTGTTTACCTGTAGGGGAAATAATGGAGACAACTTAAATGACTGTAACAGGACTGCCTGGGTCATTCTGGTACAACCACACACTGCAACGCTCTGGCTGTCAGAGGCAGTTAGTGATGTCAAGGAGAAATGACCAAGACATTACATTTTCCACAACAGACACTTATGCCGGGCATGGTGGCGCACACCTGTAATCCCAGGACTTGGTAGGCTGAGACAAGAGGGTCACTGTGAGTTCAAGGGCAGCCTGAGCTACATGGTGAGTTCAAGGGCAGCCTGAACTACTGAGCGAGACCCTGTCTCAAAAAAACAATAGGCATTTGTGTCCTTGTGAATTTAATTTTTAAAAAAAGTTTGATTTTGGTTTTTGGTTTATTTTGTTCTTTAAGAGAGAAAAGACTACCCAGGTCAGAGGCAAGATGTACACGGAAGCTGGACCGGGTCCGTGAGATAAGAATGACATTTAAGAAGGGAGCAGAGAGACCGGGCTGGCTGGGTCTGCCCGGCTGTTTGGAAAAGCTGCTGGGACCAAAGGCTACGAGCAGAGTCCCCTAGATTCAAGTCTCTCAAGGAGGAGGTGAAGCCTCCGGGAGGCCCCAGCCCATCTTAAAGTGGCCTGGTCAGCGTCTCCGAGCCTTAGCAGCTGTGTGCGCCGGGGTTAGGCACCAAACACGCTGAGCTTCTGCTGCTCCAGAGACAAGATGGCGGAGGGGAGGGACGTCCTCGCCTCTGTCCACCAAGCATCACGTTTAGACAGCCTTCTCCCACTAGTCCTTCAAATACTTCTGTCCATTCTTTTCTGTGGCGTCTTCAACACATATACGTGAGGTCTCTGAACACTGCCCCCCGCCGTGCTCTTTTATTCTGTTATTTTCAGCCTTTTTTTTTTTTCTCTCTGTGTGTTTCATTTATTTGTCTCATTGTGGGTTGTGTTCGCCTTCTTTGCACACCTGGTAATTTTCATTCAGTACCAGGTTCTGTGAATCTTACCTTTAGGGTGCTGGATATCCTTCATGACTTTGATATTTTTTAGCTTTGTTCTGAGATACAGCTAAATTACTTAAGAACAGTTAGGTCCTTTTGGGGCTGGCCTTAAACCTTAGCTAGGGGGAACCAGAACAGCCCTCGGCTCACTGTCCCACTCCTCCGGTGACCCCTTCTGAGTGGTCTGGCCAGCCCTGCTCACCAGGCTTCTTCCCTCTGGTGGGTGGGAACACAACTCTTCCTTGCCCGCCGTGAGGGTTGTTCCACCTGCTCATTTCGGTGGCTTTTTCCTTCGGCCTCGGGTAGTTCTCTCTCCACCTGCACTAAGATCTCGGCTGAGGACTTCAGGGGGCGGCTCTGGCTGCCATGGCCTGACTGAACCCCAACAGGAAGAGGCCTGTTGCCCTAGGATCCAGTGTCAGTCAACAAACCCATCCTTAAAGCCTAGCTCATGACAGCCGGAAAGAAAGGGCAAGGACGGGCCACAAACGGAGCCCCGTGGCTGCGCGTGCGAGAGGTGGGAAGCAGAGGCAGGAAGAGCAAGGGAAGTGCTCACCGCCACAGAGGAGAGGCCACGCTCCAGAACGCATTCAATACTTTCTGTTCTTTAGCAGAAGCTCCCACCCTGTCTGGCTCCAGCTCAGCCGTGAGTTGAGCCGCCCTTTCGCCTCACGTCCAGTTTCTAACGCCCACTGTTGTGTCTCCAAAACGCCTCCTGGTTCGCTTCCCTTTTTCCAGGTTTAGTTCAGCCCCGGAGCCCCTCACAAAGGCGCTGTGTGACATTAGGGAGGTCGTCCTATTCCTCTGGGGCTGAAGGTGCCCCTTTGTAGGAGAAGGCGGTGGACTAATGGTCTCCCAGGCTCTCTTTGCTTTTTAAGTCCAGGTTTCAGGGATATTTTGGGCCATCCGTGCACAGATCCCTTTTATTCCTTACTAATAAAGCATGACTCTGATGCGGCTCTATCCAGAGAGGTTCGGGTTAGAAGTTAGAAATGTGCCCCGAGCACAGTAGCTGTTCTGCAGTGTCTGCTGAATAAATATCTCTCAGAGTTGAAAGCAAAACAAAAACCACAAACAAAAAACCCAGCCTGAGCCCGGCTGCGTTTATATTCTGCAGCACAAGGTCCAGGCTGGGCTGGCCTGCGGGGTAACTCGGCTCAGCGGTGTTCACAGCCTGCCCCGCGCCCAAACTCATGAACACGTTAGTGTCTGCAGCACAGAAACTCCGGCCAAGGGATGAGGGCTCCCGAGAAAGGGACGCGACCCTGGGTTGCCCGGGTGAGCCCAATGCGGTCACCAAGGTCCTCGTAGACAGCGGGACAGGGAGAGGTCGAGGGAGGAGCTAAGGGGTGCTCAGAGCCTGAAGCAGGAAGCCGTGTGAGTGAGCCGGAGGACAGCCTCGGCGGTGAACCAGAGAGGGGAAAGGCTGTCCTGGCCCCAGACGGCACACAGCCCTGCTAACACCTCGGCGTCCAGATTTCTGACTTCCAGAAGGCCAAGAAGACAAGGCCTGTGTCAAGCCATTAAACTGGCGGTGTCTGTAGCCTCCCCATCAACTTCTTACGCTGACCAGGCAAGACGTCTGACTTTTCCGGGTGTCTGTTTTACTTTCAACCAAATGGCATTGAAAACATCTCTGCTGTGTGAGGAAGGGGCGACAGGAAACAGCACACGGTGCCAGGTGGAAAAACAGAAAACACTCCTCGTAATCTCACCACTGCCTCACTCCTACCCTTACCAGTACTCCACCGCGGGGAAAATGCCTCCACACCTGGGCTGGTCCCAACCTCCGAACAACCCCGTGACTCAGAGCCACTGCGCACCTTGCGTAAATGCCACCCCGAGGCGCAGGGCCACGCAGCCGCTGGAGACAAGCAGCGGCCACGCTCCCCTGTGCCGCTGGCAGTTAGGAACCTCGTGGACCGGGGCCACCGCGGTCATGCTGACACCGCGCTGCCCTGCCGTCACTCCTCTCCTGTAACCACAGCTGCCGCCTCCGTCACCTGCTTCGGCCTGTCACCAGCTTGTCGCAGGAGTGATTGAAGGGCTACTCGTTCGCGTTGTGACTTTCTGCTGAGGGAAGTTGGCTGAGGAGATGTTTGTTTATGTGGGAGCAAATGCTCCGAGGTCTGCAAATGGAGCCGCCCATCCCACCACACCCCAGAGGACTGCAGCTTTGCGTCTGGGCGGAGAGCTCTGGGCCTCAGCCATGTGCGAGTGGAGCCGGGAGGAGGGCGCCGCGCTGCCTGCGGGTCTCCATGGGTTTCTCGCTGCACAAGAGCCAACGCCGGGGGCTCTGGAGGGGCCTGGGTCCCTGCAGGGCTGCGTCTTTTTTATATGTCTACAATGAGGCGCTTGCTAATTGTAGCCAGTTTTCCAGCTCCAGCTGCCCTTCTTTCAGTGGCCTGCTTCCTCTTGCTTTTCTCTTTCCTGGCCTTTGATTTCCAACACTTCCCCGCATTGTTCGGAGCCCTGTTTGTTTTTACAGGGCCGACTTGGCTAATAGGAGTCGGGGCCAAGGGGCCAGCTCTGCGTGAGCTTCGCTTCCAGGAGCACAGCGGAGCGCTTGGCTTTGAAGCTTGTTGGGAATATTTGGATTAATAACATTTGTTTTAGCATTTTTCCCTCGTTTCTGATCATCAAAGAGCTCGGAACGGTTTGAGCTGGGTGCAGTTTCTTCTAGTTTGTCCTTGGGAGCAAGTGTCTGGAACAGGGAGGATCTAAAAATGTTTTCTGAGTGAAGCCTCGTTAATGGGGCAGGCTGCAAATTCACATCAAGGGAGTGTCAGCTTTCAAAACAGCTTCTTGGCAGAAAAGGATGCAGGATTTTAGAGAAATCTGAACCTGCTATTAAATGAACTCCCTGAGTCCGGGCTGTGCTGCATGGAACCTGGCTTCCAGGGGCTGTGGATAATCACTTCCTTGGTGGCAGAATGTCTCGGGCAGGTCAGTGCTCCTTGGAGATGAAAGATTCACCAGTCTGGACGGGCTGTTTGCTTTTGGGACGTCCTGCGCGTCTCCTTTTCTGTATTTTCACTGCGTCGGTGCTTTGTGTCCTGGCTGTGTGTTGGGGTTGAGAGACAGGGCTGCTGCTCTGCGGCCCGGAGGAGGTGGAACAGCACCGGCTGTAACAGGTCCTGCGGTCACGGGGCCGCATTTCCTTACACTGACCGTTCTCATCAAACTGACAGGCAAGAAACACGGAGGGAACTGGGCCAAGTGACAGCATAATCAGCTTGCCTAAAACCAGTAATAAAGGGAAATCTTCAAAGGAACCAGAGAGAAAGCCACACTGCGCACAGGAGCAGAGAGAAGCTCCGAACGGCCCCATGCTGTGGCACAGGTCTGGGCCCGTCTGTGCAATGACCGGAAGCTGGTATTTGTGCAACGGTTTTGGATTTGCGGTGGGTCACTTCAGAGGGTTAAACCCCCTCGAGCCTATTCAGTTACTTGGAAATGGTTCAGTCCTTCTGAGGCCTGTGTTAAAAGTTGGTCGATGGTTAAAAACCCCACTTACGTTGTTAACGATAATAAGAAGATGACGAAAGACGCCTGCCCCGCAGTTGCCAGCACCGTCTCCATCAACAGCTGCGGAGGACCGCTCACCACCCACTCACCCTCTCGCTGTAACAAACACCCACACTTCTTCTGCCGCTGCCGTGCACACGCCAGGCTCTGGCCTCCTGACAGCCCACGAGCTCGACGGTACGGTTCAACCAACACCGTCACAACCTGGCATGACCCAGGCAGACCTGGAGCCCTGAGCGTCTCATGGGACGAAAAGCAACCCCAAGATTCAGCACTAAAAACAAAATTAATAAAACCAGCTTCCTTTTGTGGAGCAAATATTCAAAAGACCATTTCTAGACCAAATGTTTTCTAGACCGGCTTTTCCCCGCTGGATGACACTTGCACCCGCTTTGCTCCCAGGTTTGACGCTCCGCGCTTCTCTGATAGTCTCTGCTGCCAAGCGTCCCCAGGTGTAAGAAGAGGGGTGCAACACCCCATTTGCTGGAAACCAGGCTCTAAACGGTGCCTGAGAAAGGGGGGATGGAGGCGGCTCTACACAAGGGGGAACAAAAGCAACCCAAGACTCAGCACTAAAAGCTTAGCTCCTGAGAGTGAGGCCGGGCCCTGGGCTCAGCCGTGCGAGACAGGACTCCTCAGCACCTCTGAGCTCAACCTTTGGGGTCCTCTTCCGCCTCGGGCTCAGCCACCTCGCAAACCATTCCCAAGGAGGCGACTCTGGAAGGCGGCGTGGAGTTACCGGGGCAGCAGGAGGCAGAGCGCGTGGCCCCGCAGTCAGGATGCAGGCTCCGTACACAACACCGGACAAAACCCGCGAGGGGCCGGGAGAGGAGACAGGCACAGAAGAGGGTCTTCCCACCCGCAGGACACTCAAGAACCAGCACACGGGATGACAGTGGCGGAGGCGGAGGGCCGTGTTTCGTCGGGACTGCCGGGAACAGGGAGAGGGACAGTCGAGGGCACCGCGGCGCCGACGCGCTCTTGGCCGATGGTGGTGCGTTCAGGGTTTGCGGCCTTGCCTGTGAGTCATACTGCACTGAAACAAAGAGGCCTCTCCCCTTAAGCAACACGGTCGACTCTGGAACCAAATAGCTTCATGGTGAGTCCAACCCCTGGGGGTGACCCTGGCAGCCCCACAGCAGGGTTATTTTGTTTGCAGCGCTCAGGTTAAACACAGGGCCTTCACACGGAGCTACATCCTCGGCCTTTTATTATTATTATTATTATTGTTATTATTTTGAGCCAGGCTTTTGTTACCTGGCTAAGTTGCCCAGGATGGGCTTGAACTTGCAATCCTCCTACCTCAGCCTCCCAACGTGGTGGGACTGTGGGCGTGCACCACATACCCACCTTCTCAGAGTGCTTCGTGCAAGGTTAAGGAACTGGGCGGGCAGACAGGAGGCACACAGTCGGCGCAAGCTTTGTTAGAACGGAAGAAGCCAAGGCAGAGACCCGCCGGGCAAATGAAAGAGCGAGGCGTAGGGACCCTCTGCGCACCGCCCCCCAGCTCACCTGTGCTGCAGAGCACGGGGCACGCAGGTGACGCACAGCACGGCAGCAGGCGGCCACCCCAGCCGCAGGCACCTCGCCTCCGCCGTCACAGCCGCTCCGGGACTTGCCGAGGAGCCGCCGTCACCGATGCACAGAGCACCGACTGCGCCTTCGGCTCGCTGGCGACTAGACGCCGCGCTGAGACTCCTGAGTTACTCGGGCACGGCGGCGCTCACTACACATTCAGGTCTTCACACTTGCGGCCTCGAGCTTGAGTGCTGGGGTGATGCAGAGCCTGCGGGGACAGACGGGCTCCCGTCCACCTCTCCTCTGTCGGCCGACCCACCAGGCTCCCTCCGCTGCTGTCTGCCCCACGCTGTTACCCCTCTCTTTGGAAGAGGCTGAGTCAGAAGCGATCAAACGCAGGGAGAACGCGTGTTAGATGGTGTGGCAGAAACCCGGGTTCCAGGGCCGCCATCCCGAGGTGTGACTGCTCGTGACATGCAATCCGCTTCTCCGCCGAGGTCTCTGGGAGCTGCTTGTTTGTTGTTTGTCATTTGTTTTAAATCTGGTAAATGAAATGAGTGGTCTGGATTTGCAGTTTTTGAACATATGTCAGCCTCAGAAGACTTCCAACCAACTGCATGTCTGGCAGAAAATGTCAGACACAAAAGAGGGACGTTCGCCTGCTGTCCCGGGTCCCCACCCAGCTCCTGCAGCAGCCCTGAAGTCCGGGACCTCTGCAGGGTCCTTGGGCTAAGGTCCTCACATGCTTGCAAACCATTACATGGGCCTGTATATATGGGGGAAGAAAAGATCTCCAGGCCAGCTAAAATGTGGCTTTCAAATGCCTTGTTGTTCATTCCAGAGTTTAACCCAAAAGGCCTTCTGTGCTTTGAGAAATATCATACACAAAATCTTACGTGACATATATGTACACGGGAAGACTGGCAGGAAATACCAGTGGGCTGCGTCACCTGTCCGGGTAGGGACGCAGCAGGGCGACAGTGCACAAGGAGCTCTGCACCACCACCTGGAGCGTTCGGGTGCCAGGCAGCAGGGAGGAGGCGGGCAGAGCGGGAGCCGCTGCCAGAGCATCCCGGGGAGGGCAGCCCAGAGATGCCTGGCCAGGCCGAGGGAAGGCAGGGGGCAGGGACAGCCTGCTCCACAGCCCTGGAGTCCTGCTCTGGATTAAAGGTGCAGCAGCTTCTCAAGGTTTCTCTCTGGCCAGCAGGAGGCCTGATGAACGCTTGCTTAGATCACCAATTTATGCGGCTGCAAAACTCCTTTGTCTGTATAAGCTCTAGTAACACCTCAAGAAACAGGCTGGGATCCAAAAAGGCTTTATATAGGCAAGTTTTTAAAAATGAGTTAGAAAGCACGACCTAAAGAATTACAGAGGAAGGAGGGAGAGAGGAAGGGGGAAGAGGGAAGAGAAGAAAGCAAAGTGGCTTGGGGCCGGGGGACTTCGAGCAGGGAACAGAACAAGGATCACGCGCGCTTCCGAAGCACGTCCACCACCCGCCGTCCGGGACGTCTCTCTTCCCAGCTTGCTCTAGAGAGGAACCGAGCAGGGTCGCCTGCAGTGGAGGCCCGGAGCTCAGGACTGCAGGGTGGGACCACGGGCGTTAGAAGTGACGCGGCTGGGGTCCCCGCCTCTCTGCTCCGGGCTCGCTGTGACAGGTCTTTCCCTAAGAAGGGCAGAACGAACCCTTCTGCGAAGTCAGCGCACCACCAGCCGCCTCTGTGCAGGCCGCGTGCGAGGCCCTGGGACCTGGGGACACGCAAGAGCTGAGGAGGCGGAGAGGCTGGGGCAGAGGGGCTTCGGGAGCGCAGGCGCCTGTGGCGGGGCGGGTAGCGTGGGCAGGGGAGGCTGCAGCCACGACACACACATGAGGCACGGTTGCTGCAGGAGGGGAAGGAAGAGCAAGGGGTGGGAGAGGACCCGGGCGCACGGCCGCGGACAGAGGGAGGGGCTGCGAGCAGGATGAGGCAGGCGGCCGAGGCTGGTGGAGGTAGGAAAGACCCTCCGTCATCCACAGCCAGCCGAGCAGGTTCAGGAGAAGTCCGGGCGGACGAGGAGCGTGCCGGAGCCCACAGAGAGGATGAGGACGACCGCCACGCTCCCCTCCTCCTCCTCCCCCGGCGGTGAGAGCTGTGGTCAGTGAAGGGCGTGGGGTGAAGGACAACGACCAGGAGACAGTGCGGCCATGTCTCCTGCAGAGGGCAGCCAGGACAGGCAGGGTGCTGGCTTCTCCGCCCATGCCCGCGCCCTCCCCCAGCCGTCGTTCTGCAGAAGGCCAGCTGCCCTGGTGCCCCTGTGCCCTGGACCCCGCCACCCCCAGAGCTCCCTCTGTGTGACTCCCCCAGGCCCATCCCGTGCGAGCCGCTGCCTCGAGTTCCCCACCCCCGCTTCCGGCAAGCTGGGTGCGCCCCTGGACACAGCAGAGAACCAGCGACAACGTACTGGTCAAACAGGGCCGCGCTGAAAACAGACCGGGGAGGCTCCCACCGGGCCGGATGCTCCAACTCAGGCAGATGCCGGGCTAGGGGCACGCTCCCTGGGGTGTTTCCAAGCGGACACACAGGAGCCCTGGTCCAGCCTCCTGGGGGCCACGGCACAAGCTCACCTTCCGCCCCAGGCTGGCTCTGGCTGCCCCCCACCACCCCGTCCTGGCGGGAAGCCCAGGGTGGCCCCAGCTCCGCAGCCCTGGGGCTGCTCACCCGCTTCTGCCCCGCTGCTCGCCGCTCCTCCTGCCCCCACTGGCCTCTCTCAAGGCCACTTCTCCCTGCCAAGACCTCGGGCTCTGCTGCCGCCACCCCCAGCTCGCCAGCCCCGTGGATCTGTGTCCCCCTGCAGAGCCGGATCAGTGCTGCTCACACTGGGGCCGCTGCGGAGGAGCTGCCCGTTTGCCAGACTCCCCGCTTCCTCCTGAGCTCTGTGCCTTCCCAGGAGCCTGGCACATCTTATCCGCCAGTGTGCCGACGGCGCTTTCCAGCACTCACTGCTTCTGACACATCTGATACACGCTCGCTCCCAGCGCTCTGTGGGCGCCCGTCCAGAGGGCAGCTGCGAGGAAAGCGCCGTTTCCCAAAGGCCCAGAGCACAGGGAGGGGGGCTCGTGGCTGCCACCCGGGAGGGAGCTCCTGTGCCCATCCTCCACTCACCCCTTCCAACGCCGCATGACAGCATGGGCACCTCAGGCTCCAGCACAGCCCTCCTGCTGCCTCGAGCTCCAAGCCAGCTGCTCTCCCTGGAGTCCTGTGCTCCCTGGCCCTCCGTGACTGCTGGGGCTCCGCTGCCTCTGGGCTGGTTCTGCAGGACAGGCAGCTGTCTGGGGGGCTTCCCGAGGGGCCATCTTCCCCTGGGCCGGCAGTCAGATAGGGGAGGGCAGCTCCCACAGCTCCCTGGGCACGAGGAGGGGCTTCAGGGCAGGGGGCAGCACCAGACAAATGGGTGCCGGGCAAAATGGAAGCAGGAAGCAAAAGCTGGGGCCTTTATCTAATTAAAATTATTTATAAGAAGTAGACACACTCGTGGTTCATAAGCTAAAAGAATAAAAAAGAGAATAGATGTGCCAGGTCTTATGCCCGCACCCGTGCCTCCATCCCACTGCCGCCCTCCCCACAAGGGCTAACAACTGCTGTGCATTTCCTTTTTCAGGGAGTGGGGGTACTGGGAATCGAACTTAGGACCGCACGCTTGCCAGGCAGGCCCTGCACACTGAGCTAACCCCTAGCCCCTCTGTTCTCTTCTTCTGTGTCTGTGCAGTGTTTCTCGAATTTATTTACTTCCCCTCCCCGCAAGGTGTGCAGAAGGCGTCACACGCTGCAGCATTCTGCACCCGGCTCCCATGCGCACTCTGGGGCTCCTCGCTCAGTCCAGAGCACTTCCGGGGTCAGCCGCGCCGTACTCCGCTGAGCGAGGCACCCCGGTTGCATTATCTGGCTCTCGAAGGACACCGGAGTGCTTCCTGAATGGCCTGTGTTAATCTCACTTCATGTACTGTGGAGCCACAGAGTGAATCCCCAGGCGGTGAGTGCGGGTGAAGAGTGCACCAGGGGTGACCGTGCTCCCACCTCCTCCCTCTCCATCCGAGCCGCTCCCCCGGAATAACTGCCCCTCGCCACAGGGGCTGCTGGCCAGATGCTTCCCTGTCTGCCGATCCGACAATGAGAACCATGTCTCCCTATAGTTCAACTCTTAGAATTGAGGTTAAGGACCTTTCCCCATATTCAAGAGCATTTGTATTCCTTCTTCCGTGAAATGTCTCTCCACGCCCTCAGTCTGTGTTTGGAGCTCACTGGCCTTGTTCTAGTTGATTTCTATTCTTTATTGATCAGCGAGATGGTGCAGTAGCCCTCTGAGCTGTGAGTTGCCGTTGTTTTTTTCTCACTTTATTATTCATCTTTTGGCTTTGCTTCTGGTGTTTTGGTTTTCATTTTGGGCAGAAGTTTCTTGCCTGCTTTAATAATCTTTTATAGCTTCTGAACTTTGAGTCATGAGAGTTTTGCTCAAATGGTTACAAAGGAATGTGCCCATGTTTTCTTCTAGTCTTTTTGTGATTTATATTATCTCATTTAAAAATCTGATCCATTTGGAGATTTTCCCAGTATCTAGTGTAAAGTGTGGATCCAAATATGGCTCCAAATACCTTTCTTTTTCTAGATCTCTTAATAATTCTTTTAACGTCCTTTTACACCATATCCCACTGATTTGAAATGACATTTCTATCAAATGTTAAATTAAAATACATGTGTTTAGGTATTTGGGATTCCTGTTCTGCTTCTTTAGTGGATCATCCATGCAGAGCGTAGACAGTTTGAATAATTTAATCTTCCCCTGTCCCCATAGTTCCTTTTTATTATCTTTTTCACAGAATCTGGAGCCCTCACTGTCATTAAAGTTCTGTCCTTGCGCAGGGTCGTTTTACTCTTCTCTCTCTTACATGGAGGCCAACATCTATCTGTAGACTTCCAGCCAGAGACAGGCAGACACAGTTTGCTCCTGAAGCAAAGCAGAGGTGCAGAGTGTTCTGGGAGAGCCTCTGTGGGACCCGTCAACAAGCCCCTGGGAGGCTGGTGTGTTGCAGAAAGACCACTTGGGAAACTTGTGTCTTCCAGAAGCTTGGACATTACTCTGCAGATTCCCAGCGCTGGTCTTCTGATCTGTGGAATCTGTTGGAAGGAAGTAATCCCATATTACCCTGACATGAAGAGCTACCCCTCTCATCGCCTTACACTGGTGGGGTAGGAAGGGCTTTTTGGGGAGGAAGGCCTTGTAATAGCAGCATCAATCACCACTTCTCCCACCCCAATACCACCTTGGCCATCTCTGCTCATTGAGTACCTGCTGAACACCAGGCATTGTGGGAGGTACTTTATACACTTTTCTCACTTGCAATCCTTCAAAGAAGCTGTCTGTAAACTTGCCCGCATTTACAGTTTACTAGTGGCAAAGCCCACCTTTGTGTCTTAGTTATTTTTCTCTCCTTGCTGAGATAAAATACCTGATACCCAAAGTTAAAGGAGGAAAGGTTTATTTAGCTCACAGTTTGTAGAGGTGTTAATCCATAATCAGCTGGCTCCAAGGCAGGGTGGCATGGCAGAGGGGGATTGCAGAGGAGAACCAGTTCATGGCAGACAGAAGACAGCAAAGCAAGCAAAGGACAACCACAGCTCTTTCTGTGTTTATATTTTACCCAGACTACTTACGGTGGTTAGCACTCACACCCTTAATCTTAGTGCCCTTGATCCTAGCATTGCACTATGAATCACTCCCAACATCACACACTCTAGATCCAGGCACCTCTGAAAAAGCCCCACCTATGACTGCATGCAGCTTTAGAGAACATCTAGACACAAGCCATAACATTCTGCCCCTGGCTCCCCAAAGACTCGTGCAAAAGGCATTTAGTCCATCTCTGAGAGTTGCCAAAGTCCTAACAGCATTGCTGAAAAGTCCAAGTCCCAAGTCTCTTCTGAGATTTAAGGCAAACTCTTAGCTGTGAGCCCCTGTACAAATGAAAATAAAGCTAAACACTTCCACCATTCAATGGCACAAGATAGACATTTCCATTCCAAAAGCAGGAGGATAACAAGGAATGGGAACAAAGCTAGATCAAAATCCAGCAGGGCAAACATTAAATCCCACAGTTCCACTTGCAGCATCCCCAGCAATCTGTGGCAAGACATGAGCTCCAAAGGGCTTGGGTGGCTCCGCCCCCGTGGCACAGCCAGTGGTTGCAGCTCCCATGACTTCTTTCTGGGGCTGGCTCTGCTCCCTCCTTGCAGTTTTCCACAGATGCTCCACGTCGCTGGCTTCTCCAAACTTCTGGGGTCTCCACTGCACCTTTGGCTTCACATTCACAGCTTCACACACTGCCCTCTCAGGGGCACACCGCCTGGCCTCCCAGGCCTTCTTCTGATACTGGGGTGGGAGCCTCCCTGACCCCACAACTCTGGCATTCTGCATGCACCTAAAACCAGTGCCACATGAATGATGCCAAGGTCTGCTGCCAACTGGAGCAGTAGCCAGTGTTCCTTCTCTCTTGGTTGTAGGGGTTGAGTGCCTATGAACCAAATGCCAAGAACAACTCCCCCAGGCCACCGCCACTCTGGAACACGGTACTCTGGGCTCTCTTCTCAAAGTGAAGTCTTTCACCTTTGCAACTCTGAGGCTGCAGAGTCCTGTTCGTCCTTGTGATGCCCTCAGGCCACCTTTCCTATTCTCCTGTTCCTTCTCAGTAATCAAGATCTCCTCTGCCCTGTCTTTGCAGTCCACAGCTTTACAAGAGCTTCCTTTCTGGCCTAACTCAAGTGTCTTAATCATCCTGCCGGGCTCTTTGCTTGTGATTCTCAACACAAACCTGGCTAAAAGCCCCCAACCACAGCCCTGCCACCTCTTCAACATTAGAGTGCCTTAACATTTCTTCTACAAGATCAGTTAGTCTTTGGATCCTAGCTCAGTTCCAGAGCTCATGTTCTTATCCACTGGGCGAGGTATTCACAGAATGATCTGCCTGCTGGCCCAGTGCTGAGTCCCAGGCCTCCCTACGGAGGTCAGCGACCCTGGCCACAGAGCCCAGCAGGAGTCTGCATCCAAAGCACAGGAACCCACGCACGCCTCAGCCCTTGAGTGTAGATCAGGTGGTGTGTAACGGGGTACAGTGGGCGGGGGTACAGCATCCACTCAGTAGTGGTGCAGAGGCACAGAGCTGGCTGGGTATATTTTGCAGCCACTTTTATTCTCCGTTAGCAGAGAGGGAAAAGCAGAGGACAGAAAGCTGCCCACGTGAGGTGAGGGCAGGGGCCCAGACATGGATTCCCATGGCCCTTTGTCTCTGTGATGAAGACTTTCCCACCTAGGTCAGTACCTGGAGCTTATCACAACCTGATTGGCTCTCTGAACCGTCACAGATGGATCCCAGATCACAGAACCCCACCCAGATCCCGCTGTCTGGTGCACATTCCTTTGGTGGTCTTCGTTTTCTCCCTGCCCGCTTGTCCCAGTCAGCCCCTTAGCGGTGGTTAGGAGAAGCCTCACATGCAAGTCAAGTTAGAGATTAAGTAAGGGGACGCATGTGCATCTCGTGTGGTACCATGGTGATGCTAGAATGGGAATATATATACTTCTACGTACTAAATAAAACAACGAGGTAGCCCCTCCCCCTTTGTCTCCCCTGCATTTTAGTGGAGGCGGGGAGGGCGGCTGTTGCGTTAGTGCACCTGGCTTCCTCCTTGCTCTTTTTCTCAGCTCTCCCTCTTGTGTATTAATTGCTCCCTCCAGTAAACTCTTAACTCTTCTGCTCAGGATTTGCCGGAAACCCTGAGGCCTTTATTCTAGTCTTTCTCTGCTTACTGAGCTCGACCCCCTACACTTGGGGGATCCTGGGTCTCTAAGAGCCACCCAATAACCGATCCTTGCAGCCCAGGCTGAGGCTGGCAAGCCCCAGAGATCTGAGGACGGGTCGGCCCCTGCCTCCGAGAGCCCTTCCTGTGTTCCAGCTCATTAGCCCACACCTCTGCCTTTTGCCTTGAAGAGTAACCTGAGGGCTGTTTGGCAAAGCTGATGCTTAATGCCTACCTCTGGCTGCAAGCATTTATCTTCCAGAGCACAGCGCCAGTTGCAGGGTCAGAGGAGGGGGTGTCCCACGGACCAGAACCTTTACTTACTGAAAGTCAAAGAGAGGACGGTCTTAGGACTTGCACCTCTTAGAACTGAAGGGACCTTACAAGCTCCTCCCAATTTCCTGGTCTCTCAGAGATGGAAACTGAGGCACAGCAGGTATGGGGAGGAGCAAGGGCTAGGCCCTACTCCGGCTGACTCCAGGAGATACGGAGACTGCAGGGCAGGAGGTTCAAAGCCTTCATTGTCCGAATGAGGAAACTAAGACCTAGTCAGTGAATTGACTTCCTGAAGGTCAACCATAAGGATTTAATAAAACCCCGGGGCCTTGACTGCCACCGTGCCTCTGAAAGCAGACGCGGCAGCCGCAGGAACAAACCTGTTCAGTGCTTGTCTCAGTGACGGCCCTACACCACGGGCCTGGCCTCTCAAAGTCACCACGTGAGCTGTGTAAGGCGTCACACTGTACCGCACACACTCCATACTGACTCAGAGGTCCGGGTGCTACCGCAGGGTGCTGGAGTCACCCAGAGACCGAGGAGGTCATGTGTCCATCCCAACAGGTGACCAGCTTCCAGGACCGCAGTGGAGCTGCTCAGCACACAGGCGGCCGGGGTTCAACCCCATCCGAGGCTGGGTCCTCGCTGTGTGAAAGATGCCTTGTCAGCACCACACTCCCAGCGTGGGAGCGGGGTGAGCGTCTGCCAGTGCTTCGGCACAGGATGAGTTGCTGGCACTGTTCACCCTTGGCAGGCGGTGGGGCTGGAGGTAGGAGTAGGTCTGAGCCCCACTGGCTGAGCTTGAGCCCCAGCTCACCTGTGTCCGGGGTGGCCATGCCCAGGACACTTAACCTCGGGGAGACCCAGTTTCCTCTGGGGAAAGCGGCTACCTCCTGGCATGTTCTGAGGATTAGATAAAGGCAACTAGGAAAGTTCAGGAGCCCCCACAAACAGCCCATGTTTTCAACTGAACCCCAGCTCCCCAGCTCCAACCCCCATCGTCACCCGTAATGAGGACCCTTGGGATCTTCACAGGTTCCCTGCGCTAGATGTGTGTATGGCTGCGGGGAGCCTACCTGTAAGATAGCAAAGCGATCCCATTTAACCAAGTGATCCCACACCAGGCACTTCATCCCAGTGGACATAATTCTCTAACAGGAAAAGCTCTGGTTGTGAATTCAACACAGCTTTGTTTATAAAGGTGAAAAATAGGAAACATACTGTTTGCCCCACG